GCCCGCCCCCGCGGCTGCCGGGGCATGGAGGGCGGCGGCGGTGGCAGCAGCCGGGCTGGAGCGTGTGAGCGAGACAAAGATAAGCGGGGGAAGAAGGAGGAGGAAGAAGGAGGGTGGGGGGGAGGAGGGAGCGGATCCCTTTCCGAGCCGAGAGCCGACAGCTCCCCCTTCCCTTCTCCGGCAGGAAAACCAGCGGAAACACCGAGGCACTGCCGGGTAACGCCGGGAGAGCAGGGGCGGGCGCAGGGCTCCGCCGGGCCGGGGCGGGACAGCCCCGTGCGCTGGGTGTGGCGGGGAACAATAGGCGGCGGGGACCGGGCACTGCCCGGCCTGGCCAGGCGCTGCTGGCGGGAGAAGCGCTGGGCTGCGTGCCCGAGCCCGCCCCTCATTGTTCCCCGAACAAAGGGCGCTCCGAGCCCTTGTGACGCGGCGGGGGGCGGCTTTGTGTGGGTTTGTCCCCGCTGCCCTTCGCGCACCAACACCCCGGGCACCGGCCTCTCCTGCAAGCCCCCGAGCTCTGTCTGCCGGCAGTTTCCCCGGCAGAGCCAGCCCTTGTGCCCCGCCGGAGAAGCAGAAGGTGGGCGCACGGTTGGTCCCAGGCTCAGACTCCGGCGGGGTGTCAGGTTTGCCACTGCCATTTTAGGCCCCGTTTGTTCCGTTGGTATTGGGGCATTCGGGTTTCCCACGCCTCACCCCCTGACTCCGCTTGGATGAAAGGCACAAGGCGCATACAGACATGAGCTGGGGTAGGATGGGCTTCTCAATGAAGTCCTTTGTCATGTGGATACAGAAAAGTTAACATTGATATATGTTATCAATGTTATATTGAGATATATACACACACACCACATACATACACACACACATCTGTATATGTGTACACACATATCAGTGTTAACTTTTCTGTACCCATATGTGTGTGTGTGTATATATCTCACTATAACATTGATAACATATATCAGTGTTAACTTTTCTGTATTCATATGTGTGTGTATGTATATCTCAATATAACATTAATAACAGACATCAATGTTAACTTTTGTGTGTGTGTGTGTGTGTGTGTGTATTATGACATTAAGTTTACTAAATGGAAATATCTAATAGAAACAAAGCAGTGGGGAATATAAAGCCAACCCACTGCTTTGTTTCTGTTAGATATTTCCATTTAGGAAACTTCATGTCATAATAATGATGTTAGATAGATAGATAAAGATCGATATCTATCTGTCTCTTATATAAATATCTCTGCCTCAACAAAAAATGCTGCCTATTGGCAAGAAGGTTGTGCTATGCTTCCTGAGGGAAGCCAGACTGTGCCATCTCTTCCACCTTAACCACATTATTACACAGGCTTACTTTTACCTATTTAAGTTCATTATGATGTTATATTATGACGTTAAGTTTCCTAAATGGAAATATCCAATAGAAGCAAAGATGGGAGTTGGAGTAGATGACCTCCTGAAGTCCCTTCCACCCTAATTTTCTACAGTTCTATGATATTGAATCTGTTTAGCAGCAAGCTTTGTTTTAGGAAAGAAGGAAGAAAGGATCTGAAGTTTATCAACGTGTTCCATTTTTATCTGAAGCAGGACAAGAGACACAAGCAAAGTTAGGCCTGGATTGTGCAACTGCTTTGCCTGGATGGGATCCTGAAAGTATACAAAGACCTCCTGACTTCAGTAGGACTTCAGTGCAAAAATCTGCTTGGCTGCAGGGATACAATCACAAGATCAGAGTTGAATATATTGCAAAGGATACAGATATATTTCCACAGAGGTTTCTTGATGACAGCTTAATTTACATTATGCTTGCTGATTTTTTGTGTTTGTATGTCCTAATGCTACAAGAAATTACATTCTATCAGGGTGTTACAGACTCTTGCTTAAAGTTAAATGTGTACAGAAAAGACTTGTCAGGATCAAGACAGACAAGGTTCTTTGGGTAGATCTTGTATCTTTTATTAGACCAGCTCAAATAGTTGGAAAAAATCTTCTTTGCAAGCTTTCGGGTATAAATACCCTTCATCAGACTGAGGAAGCATCTGCAGTTGACCCAAAGAACCTTGTCTGCCTATGTCCTTAAACCAACACAGCTACAACCTATATACCCCACTTCTCAGGATCAAGGCCTTAGTCCTTATAGCCAAAAGCCAAGCATTATTTTCTATGTAGAAAACACCTAACACATTGGTGGTACTAAAAAATAAAATTTAAATAATGCAACTGAAAGGTTGGTATAGCAAGCCCAAACATACCTTCTCACTACCATAGCCACAACTGGAACTTACCATTGTAGTCCTTGCTTGGTTCTAGAAGATTACATTTAATTTAAGGTTTGGTTTATGTTTGGTTTACCATTCTGTTCAGTACTAGAATATTGGTAGAAAAGCAAAAATAAGGTCATGAGCCCCTGAAAACTGAGAATGTCCCAGCCAACCCATCACTTTAGAAAAAAAAATCAGTGTTTGATCCAAGTTCTTGTAAACCTATGAAAGCACCAGGAGGCCTTCCAAAAAGACCCCAGCATGAAGCATCTCATACATCACACTATTCTACTGTCCAGACTTCTCCCTACCCCCCACAACAAGGGGTGGTGAAGAAAGCTCAGGTGTTGCTTTTGGTGAAGAAGCAGCATTTTCCTCTCCTGTCAAAAAACTCTCTGGGCACACCTATCTGGCCTGCACCAAATCTAACCTCTCAGTGCCTGCTTCCACAGATTTTCTTACTGTAAATCTATGAATGAAAGGCCAAATCCTACTCTCTTCCAGTAAAAAAATGAGAAGGTGGTGGGCAACCCCCTTTTGACATGTGGTTTCAGTGTGCTAAGCTATAAAACAGGTCTCTGATAAAGTTGACTGATTGACTAATATGTTACTTTAAAATAACAAAGAGAAAAGTTCTCTCTCACTCCTAAACTATTTTGGGAAGGACCTCATTCCCACTGAATTAAATGCTATTTACTTCATTAGAAAGAGGAGTGCACCCTCTTTGATCAGGCCAACATATTTTCAGCATAATATGAAGGAGGCTTTGAGCTACCTGGGCTGGCCTTCATTCTAAAATCAAGTAAGGCTTTCCCAGGTCCCCCATGCATGTTACGGCAGCCTGATGGCAAACATAAACTTGATGAACACAACCAAATGCCTAAGACTTAAATATATATTTTTAATCGTACACAATTTTTGTCCTTTGAGAGGCTTCTCTGCCTCTTGCATCTGTCTTCCTAGCTGATCAAAATATCAGAGCCATATCTCCACTTAACACTTCTCTAACTGATAGTAGAAGTTAAATTGTACCCGTTCTAAGGGAATGGTCAGGAAAATTCTGAGAAGACAAGGCTTTCATGTGCAGCATTGAAGATGCTTCATTGTGGAGGCGCTACAGGTACCTAGAGATGTCCTCATTCACGTTCACATTGAATGAGCTTTAGAATGGTCCCATGGCCATTTTGAAATGTGCAGGGGCTTAATACACGTGACGGTGAGCCATTTTAATTAAAGCGGCTGTCCAAGAACTGCTCTAATTAAAACACCACTTCCCCTACCCCAAGCACATGTATAGGTAGCCTGTAGTAACTCCATAATGAAGGTTGTACTTCACTGTCTATTTTTAGCTTGATTTTGACATACATTCAAATAGTTTTCTTAAAAGGCAGCCTTGCCACTTAAGATTTATTATGTGCAGTTCCTTGCCAAAGGAGAAAACTTTTGTTGTTTGTCTTTGTTTTACTGTGTTTTAGTGCTTAGTTCACTATGGTTCTTGGGGCAAACTATAATAGACATATTAACAGTTGATGATAGATATGAGAGTTCAAGGCCAAGCAGAGTTTAGAGAAATGATTAAAGAACAAGAAGTTCAGAGACCAAATTCTAGCATTTGTAATGCTAGAATTCACACAGTTTTGAGGATGAACTGAGTTCTAAGAAACCTGATGATCTTATGAAACCTGGATAAGGCCCCCCACCCTGTAGAGCCCCAGGCTTGCTAAGGAAAATCAGAGAGCCAGGTAGTAACAGTGATAAAAGCTAATTTTGGCTCCAACTCTTACTGTAAACATGTTTCTAGTGTAAACTAGTGATAAAGGTGAGAAGTTTTGTTAAAGCTTCCCTATTCTGGTGTCAGCTAATGCACCAAGCTCTAAGAGAATCTCAAATGGAGAGGGCTTGCGAAACAAACAGCAGCCCACTGGCCTGTGCATCTCTTTCATCACCCACAGCATTCAGTGCAGCCAGCAGACTCAAGACACCTGTAAAAGATAGTGCTGCCTCCCTAGTGGGGAGAGAAAAAAATAAGAACCAAGGAAAACAGCACCACAAAAAGTACCCAGGAGAGTGCATAGAAAAGGGGGGAAAAATGAAGCTAGGCAAGACCTTGAGAATAGAATAGAATTGGTCATAAAATAGGAGAGAAGAAATATTTTTTTTTAAATCAATGGTTGATACCAATTTGTACTGATAGTCCTTTTCTATGAAAAATTAAAGAAAAGTAAAATCTTACCAAATCTAGAAATGGGGGTTAAAAACAAGATAGTGACAATATTAGGGGGATCATATTAGACATGTGGGGACCCATCCACTGATATGTGAGTTTGTAGTGATTCACCAATCACTAATGATAAAAGACAAGTACTCTGTGAAAAAGGACTATTTAAAATTTGCACACGCTTCCTTCTGGTGATGTTATGCTCAAAGTCATAACTGCTTGCCTTGGTGACAAAATAGAGCTGTAAGACCTGCAGAATCGATGCAGCTCTAGGACAAGAAGATGCATTCTCATCAGGTTCTCATATAATCAATAGAGTTTTTCATTTAAGTCCAAATGGAGGGCCACCTGTGTGACCACATTGTCTTCAAATGATTTCCTGAGTTACAC